CAGTCAGGGTTACACTCAGCAGAGTGTGAACAGGAAAAACAAATGAACCCCTCCTCTTGGTAATTATTTACATATATTTAGTGTGCACATCCTTTTCACAACAAATGTGTCACAAAAAATAATTAATCTCTCCATCTCTATTCCAGGGCAGTATCATCTTCAGATTGAAAATGCCCAACTGGAAGATGACACCCTCTATGAATGTCAAGCGGGCCCGTCTGAGAGCAGCGCGGCAATCGTTTCCAACGCCGCCTGGGTCACCATGCTAAGTGAGCAAAACAAAAATGGAGTGTCTCAACAGCGGGGGCTTATAAATATGTTTTTTTTTTTTCTTTCTGAGTAATAAAATGATGTATATAATAAGGCACAGTGAGCATCCTCAGTACTCCAGTAACATACGCGACCTTTCGACCGGTAATCAGCATATAAAGAGCTGTTAAATATTCATTTCTATTGATAAAGAGCTTTCATTTGTTTAAGATAAGGCAGATGCATTTGAAGCAGAGACTAAATTTAGAGTGCCCTTGGTACAGTAGAGCTCAGTGGTTTGAACCATGAGGAATGTTGCAATTTTTCAAACTTTTTCGGACACTATTTATTTCTTTAACAAGTGCTATGCCAATCCCTGCATGTTCCAGTAGGTCCACGGCTTTAACCAGCAGCTGCACAATATAAAGTATAACAGTGCAGCCCCGGATTCTCTGGCAAGCCTCAGGGCGATTCATGTCTCTTCCTTGCACAGGAATAAATTATAAGAGAAGTGATTGAAAACTTCCTACTCAGACATGGACTGGAATAGATGTAATTGTGCAGCTACATTAGACCACCTGTTGTCACTCTATAACAACCGGTATTTCTCTCTCCCTATCCCTCTTGCTTGTGGGAGCGAGCCCATATGTGGCAAGGAAAAGACTCTAAAAGAACCTTTCTTCTCCAGGCGCAGTTCATTTACTTACATCCCCCTCCCCATTCTCTCCGTCGCACAATTTCTCCCTCTCTCCCTCGCTCTCGATGGTTGACCGTGGACGAGGGGGGGATTTGGAGAGGCGGCGAGGGGGGGGAGGGTAAGTGTTACTGTGGCGATTTCAGCGGGCCTCGCTCTCCTCTGGGAAGAGAGCAGGTTTTTCTGACATCAATGGGCCGGCGGGAGGGATGGCGGGTGGTGTGGGGAAAGAAGAGGCATAGACTGCAGACGTCTCTTTTTGAATGGCCGCGTTCTGTTCGAACACTGCAGCAGTTTCATGTCCTACAGCAGACCTACACCTGCAGCCGCAGCAGGCTCGACTCCCACATTTATTACCTCTGAGATGCCTATTGCATGTGTGCCCACATACACAAAGTCAACACAATTGCCTTTGGCTTTGTGGAAAAGGTCAAAATGTGTGGGAATTATGCTCGTGTTGCATCAGGGCCGGCTGGTGGTGGTATTTACCATGACCGAAGCCTACTCTTTCCTTGTGTTCCCGACATGGTCACATATGAAGTGCCTCCACACATCTCAGCAGGTGTTTTTGTCCAGTGTCTCGGGATCACTCTCCAGCTGTTGACTGGTTAAGATGGACAGTTGCAGCTGTACTGTTGGAAAGGGCAAAGAGTGAAGCGAATGACTTAAAAAGCACTCTGCAGCCTCGGTCCTGAAGGGTCATTTGTTCCAGCCCAACAATTCAAGTGATTCAAAATACGTGACTAATCTGGGACTTGATAATGAGCTGATGAATTCAATCTCGCGTTAGTGCTGAACTGGGACCGGAAAAAAGTGTGCATCCTTTTTGAAGCGGCGCTGTCTCTGATGAGTTTCCCATGGACTTTTCCATCACTGAACTACAGCTCCCAAGGCCCCACACCCTTGGCCAGTCATCCGTGGCCATATCCCATCAAGCTCTGCATCAAATCAAAACACCATAAACTCTTTATGAGGAGGATACAGTAGGGGAGAGGGGAGGAATTTGAAAACAAAACAGAGATTGCCGGTTGTATAATTGGATTCTTGGGTCAGAGAGAGTGGTATCATGACTGGCTAATTCGAGATGGATCACCACAGGCAGTAAATAGCAGGGATAGAGGCAAATATGTCAATAAGCCCCATCCATGGGCTTACAAAGAGATGTTTTCAAGACATTTCCATTGGTGCAACATAACTCCTGTGTGTTTTTGCCTTCCTGCGGAGCTTAGATAGGGGATTACTGCAATAGGCAGATCAAGTGGCAGTGAGTAATCCATGACAATAACAACCTCTACCCCCTCTGCTGAAACCCCCTCCTCTGCTAAAACTTACCCCGCACTGTGCCCGTCACATACCTGACACATCCTGTGTCTCGGTTTATACCATTAGCCTTAGCATTTAATCCTATTAATGAACACCTCTCTCCCTCACCACATTGCATGCCTGTGCAGATGCCTCCTGCAAATGTTCAAAACAGTTTTTTTTCTTTTTTTTTTTTTCCTGATGTGTTCTGGTTTTAGACTGTTACTCATTCAGTTGCCATAGTTGGGTCTTACAGAGATATGTGTGTGTGTGTGTGTGTGTGTACGCGTGAGTGTGCCCATGTGTGTGTAAGCTTATTATCAGTGTTGGTTGGAGGTTAGAGGACATTTTAGGAACCAGGGCTATGGCGAGGTTTTCTGCGGTAGCTAATGAGTTTAGCACTTGAAGAGTATATAATGAGCCTTCATTTTATGATTCCCTGTTATGAATAATGGAACGACTTATAAATGGGGGCACAAGCAACGTGGAACATGGCGACTTTATTCATCTTTGTTCATGAAAACTTCTGACAGTTGCCCAAGATATAACCCCATCAGAGGACGGTGTGTTATACACTGGTGAGAAGGTGTGCATATTACAGTGTCAGACTGATGTTACAGTGTCAGGGTCTGTTTTTACAATTAGCAAGGGGAGTTCTGCTAAATAGCAAAACGAGACGCTAACGGGTTTTAATTCTATCTCTAAGGTACATTTACACATGAGTCAGACTTTATGTGATATATTTTCCGTAAAATGGCCATTTGGGAGATGGATGCTGACAAATGGGAGTTTAACTCTTATGTAATGGACCCAAAACAAAAGGCGAGGCAGACTTTAGGAGCAGGACAGGGAGGAGTTGTGTGGGTGGATGAGGGACGATGGAGGTGTGGGCAGGAAGTCTTATTTCTGTCCTAAACACCTGCTCCATTCCCCCTCCCCTCCCCTTCCTCCAAACACAGGAGATGCAGACAGGAAGGGGGAGACAGAGAGAAAGCTAAAAAAAGAAAAAAGAATACTGTCTCAGTGGCTTTCTTTGCCAGAGATCACACACCTGAGACCGAGAATGTGTGTAAGAATGAACAAATGTGTGTTTTTACTCGCATGTGAAAATGCTTTCTTGTGCACGGATGTGTGGCCAATATTTGTCTTGCACAGATAAAGAAAAAAAGAAGAAGCGAGTTGTGTCTGTCTGGTGTTGAGAAGTCAGATCTCCATTATTTTCTATCTTATTCAGCATGATAAGCTTTTTAGAGGCTGTTTATCCTCTGGGCCTTCTCCAATATTTTTCAGGGAATCAAGTTGGTATCACATGTTAGACCGTGCACACACTGGTGCCTGTTTTTAGAGCGAAGTGAGATGAATGTGGCTTGTCTGCACATTCGCTCGCCTGTGTCAGTGTGTTTGTGCGTGCAAATCTGCATGCACTGTAGACTTGAGTTTATCTTTGGGTGTTTGTGTGCAGAGGAGAAAAGAGAGTATGTGTGCATCTGTATGTGAATGAGAGACGGGGATAGGTGGAAAGAGCTGCTTATGCATATTGATGTGTGTCTGCTAATCTGCTTCTTATCTGCCTTATCCATCCATCCGTCTGTATTTGTCTAATGAATCGAATTTTGCGGCTCAGTGTTTCTCGTCTGAACTGCAGGAGCAAGTCCTTGCCTATCTATTTTTGTGCTCATATATGTACCTTAATAAGAGAGATAGAGCTTGAAAGCAGAAGAGGTAGAGAGAGAGAGAGAGAGAGAGGCAGGGAGACAAAATGAAAAAAATAAAAAACCCCTGACAGGCAAGTATACAAAGAAGAGGCAGAAAGAGTTAATTAAGAGAACAGCATGTTTGCTGCCTGTTCTTTGCTCTGAGTGCATGTTGAGTAAATTGAATAGAGTGTGTGTTTTGTTGTTGTCCACATGTGCTATCACACTTGTGGGCCTACAGATGTCTCTGTGTGTGTGTGTGTGTGTGTGTGTGTGTGTGTGTGGGTTCATCCTCACTGGGCTGATTGGGTCACATGGTTTTTCCTGAGTGGATGTGATGAATGGCGGGCTGTAAAGTCCCAGTCCAAGCTGGAACACACCTTCCTCCGCACTTCTGCAGTTTAACTGCAGTGGTCAAGAAGGATAGTGTGTGTGTGTGTGTGTGTGTGTGAGTGTGTGTGTGTGCAGGGGGAGGGGAAGGTGGGCTCAGGGCTGCTAGAGAGGGATGATGGAGTGAATGAGAGATAAGAGGAACAGGCCGGCATGAGCGAGCGAGGGAAAAATTAGATACCTGCCTGCCTCATTTGTGAACATATCATTATTCTTATTTTAGGATTTGTTAGGCTGCCAGACACTCCTCGAGCACAACAAGTGATGCGCCTATGTGAATTGTGTGGGCCTGAGTAGATTGAGAGTGCAGGGGCTGTCAATAGATGCATGGCCCAGTCATCTTCTCGGGGAAGAGGGGGGGAAAAAAACAAACAAATGCATCTCATTATTGCTGCGCGCGCCTCTGCGGTGCTCTGGGTAACCCATCACAGTCCACACAGATTCAATTGCTTCTTTTAAATCAGTTTGAAGCTGCAGCCACATCTCATCTGTCTCAATAGCAGACTGGGGCCAATGGGCGACTCTGCACACAGCAACAGCTCCTCCTAGTGGCCGAGAGTTTAACTGGACGTGCCGAAAAGTGTGGAGAGGGGCTGTTGAACGCCTGGCTGGCTTGGTTTGCTCGTGGTCCAGCTGTTTCGCCATACATTGGCACCGGATTTATCTCAGAATTCAGCAGCAGCGATCTTCTTTGTCATCCTCCGCAGCCCGTCTTACGCTCACTTTTCATTCTTGCCGTATCCTTTTCCCTCCTCTGCCAGTCTTTTATGTCTCTCGCACACACGTATCCTTTCCTGTACTTACCAACTCCCCATTCTGTCTCTTAACTCAGGCAGCCTTTGCACTTGATCTCTGATGAAAGAAAAACAACCTTCACAGTAACCATAGTTTCTAATTCTACAGGCTCACCCACTCACTAAAAGCTGGCACAATAGACCGTTAGCTTTCTGTACTGTGTGCATGATTTAACTGATAGTCTTGGTAAAGGGTAACAAACAGATCTGCAAAAAAAAAAAAATCTCTTTGATAATTAGTTGGTGACAGATTTCTCAATTTACCGCCAAACAATTTTTTGGTCCCTTGTGTTAAAAGCTATGTTTGGTTTTTTTTTGGTTTTTTTTTTCTTTTTCTGGAATCCCTATTTATGGTCAGATAAAAGGATTGTGGAGTAGAACAGTAGAGAAGTGAAGACTGCTTTGATCAGTCCAGAAAGCACATATTTAGCTTGGGGGTGATCTGAGTAGAGAAGTGTTTGGTGTTTGCTATGATAGATTAGCACTGGATTGGTTTCATCACTGTTTCATCTCTGTATTCTTTTCTTGTCCACAATTTGTATTCAAACGCAACAGAACATCAAACCTCCCTGTAGTAAATCACTCAAAAGCTGACAGTGTGACATCCCAGTCGCTCCCGAATGCTACATCCATATTATATCATCGCATAAGCTAATATCCATCTGTTGGAGCAGCAGCTTCCACTAACCCAACATTACCAGTGATGCACACCTATCGGCCATAACATTAAAACCACACCTACGCCACTACAGCTCTTGTTGTAGGTGGAAGGCACATGTCGAAATAACATCCACAGCAATGGCACTGCACAATATGGCTTTGCATTGATGTTGCTTCCGTCCTGCAGTTCCTCCATCCAAGCCGTACTTCGAGACGGACCTGGCGACACCTTGGGTGGCAGGGAAAAAGTACAGCGTCATGTGTGTGGCCCCAGACGCGAAGCCCGTGGCTGAAATCACACTTTACAAAGGTGAGTCACCCTTTGAGCCGCATTGAGTTTGATAGCGATGGTCACCCCCGATGAACAGAGGGCAACAGCCTGTGTTTGATATTCCACTTTCTGGGATCTCAATAGGCCGCAACCTGAATATTTAAACACAAAAACATAGCAGAGGATAAAATGCAAGTTCAGTAAAGACTTTTTTGTTTTCACAGTTTTTGAATAGCAGAGTTGAAAAGGAGCAGACTCTGTGTGGGAGGAAATAGCCTGAACATTTGAATTTCCAATTTCCACCGACTTTACAATTGCATGTACGGCGAATGTATCACAAGTTCCTCGTTGTTTGCAGAAACAACTACAATTTTCCCACTCTTTTGTTTTTACCTCTTGCTCTCCTGTCATGCCCATTATCCAGCATCGAGCTGAAACAGATACGTCGGGGTTTTGTTTTTTTTTCCCTCCCCTGTTTGTGTGAATTTGTCTACAGGCTTATGGTCCAAGATGCATAGTTTCATCTTTAAAAAATGTACATCTTTATGGCGTTCAATAAAATGCTGGTGGTATTGTAATCCCCAACGCTGTTTGGATTTTAATTTAAAGGCAAGTTGAGACAGTGGTATGTATTGTTGCTGTATAAACACATTCATCATATCCCAGTGTTTACCATTCCAACATGAGAGCAACACCAATGTTTCTGTTTCACATGAACAAATTTACACACAATATTCTGCCTTTTTTTTTTTTTTTTGTGCGCCTTTCCCCCCATTGTGTCTTTTAGATGGAGTCGAGCTGACAGGTGCAGAGTCTTTCACCATGTCTGGCTCAAAGGATAAGCTTCTGAACACGCACGCCGAAGTAACGTATGTGTTCAGCCGCCTGCCAGACTCATTCTCCTCACCAACCTGCTCAATCTCTCCAAGTCTGCCTGTGTTGTTTCTTGTCTCCCCCCCTTGTTTTCACCACGCTCCTTATTTTCCTCCTTCTGTCTTAGTGAGTACAATGAATTTCTGCACACAGCGAACTGTTACTTGGCACCGTGCGATTGAATTAGCTTCTGTCAAATTCACAAAATTACATTCCAGCAGCGAGACAGATCCGATCCTCGCCGGTTCGCCCAGGTGCCTATACATTAAACAGGGCCATAGATTACTTTAATCTCGCATGTCTCCTCTGTGTCAAAGATAATAACCTCTTGTCATGTCCTGAGATAACATTGGTGCTGAGGAGTCGCAATATTGCTCAGCTCGCTTGCAGAACAGCAAAGGTTTTAAGCAATATTGATGTTCTTTCCTCATGTTCACACTGAGCATACACAGCAGTGGGGCCGCGTGTGATTGTTACAGTTGTCATTGTACTGTAGTTTGATATAGAAGACTCGAGCTGGAAAAAGACTCTGAATAAATCCGCTGTGGCGCTTTCTATGTACATCACAGAGTCTGTTGTTTTAATTTATTGTCACAAGCCTCTCGCAAGTGGCTTAACACAGTGGTGGAAAAGTAAATTTACTTGAGATTTTCTGTTGTATACTTATCTGACAGTAACAAATACTTTTTATTTATTTATTTTTTTAGTGCTCAAATTATCCAGTGTTTCACAAAATGCAAAAAGGAAAGGGCTGGAAAATGACTACAACTTTATGTAGCACAACTTCCACTATTTTTACCCCATTAATCACCTCATGAGCCCTTAAATTTATCTTTTTTTTAACCAATGTTCAAATTAAACTCACAAGTAGAGACATGAACCGTATCACTCCTGCCTACAAAACCAAATATTACAAATAGAAGTGAAAATAAAAAAGTTACCCCCTGCCCAGTGAGCAATTCGTACATGTTTATAACTTGTCACTGGGTGGAAAAATTGCTGTGACGGGGTGTTTCCTCCATCGATTCTTTTCTGGAATCATGTTTTTGTGGCTGACATAAAGGAGAGATCTGCCTCACGAAGGTCTGTTATCGAGAAGGACATAAGTCTTGGGCACGTGCTGATGGATGGAGGGTGCGCTCAGCTTTTACTCACCAGAAATGATGAGACAGTGGCTGCTGCACTGAATGTGTAGGAGGACGTGCCCACGCCAACCACTCACTGAAAGTTACAGATTTGTCACCTAATCCACGTATAATAATTACATGTAGGCATTTAAAGCAGCCAATGAGCCAAAACACATTTAAAAAAACCATCCTGCATGTGTAGCGAGTCTCCAAGTGTCAGTAAGGAAGGATGAACGCCATTCTTCTCAAAGATATTCCCTCATTTGGTGCTTTGAAGATGTGGATGGAGAGTGTTTCCTTTCACACATCAGTCCAACATCTCTCTTTCAACTGGGTTAAAATTTTTCATAACTGCAAAAACCTTATCACACGATGGGATCCAAACCATGCCAGCAAAATTTTTCTCGGCAGCATAACATATCCACAGGATGCCCTCACCGATAAGGACTTATCTGCATTTAAAATGACTAATGTCAGCACTTTACATTTTATGTATGTCTTGTGATTTTTGTCATGTGAAAAAAAAAAAAAGTCTTAACATGTCCATACTGTGTTTTTTATATGCTGGAAGACACATCATGAGCAAAACAAGCAGTGCTGAGCATCATGAAACTGCAGCGTATCAGTAAAAAATGAAAAATTCCAACATGGAACAAACCTGAGGAACCAATCCCATCGTTTTTCTCTGGTTCAAACATGTATGAACGAATTAAACTAATGTCCCAACTTGCCTGTGTAGTGTGGAGTAGTTTAACAGAGTTTGAGTCATGAGCTGGTGTGCTCGAGCTGCAGAGGAGTGGTTGGAAAGAGAAGAGGGAAGGGACTATTTTCTTGGAAAGAACTTTTAAAGTTGAAACTTTTGCACAGAGGGACTTTACCAACTTAACCGTCATATACAATAACATATGACATCACATCACATTTATGGTGCTGATAGTTCTGTATGTATACTTTAGATTTTAGGACTTCTTCTTGTACCAGACTATATTTTGATTAATGTGCTTAATGCTTAAGCAAAGGATTTGAATACTACGAGCCGAACGACGCCAAAATGTTATATTTTTAGCATATATGTGTCAATATAATTTGTCTTTTGTCTTCTGTCTCAATTCTTCCATCCTTCTGCCCTCTCAAAGGGTCGTCGCTCTGAGCTCCGACAACGGGAGGCAGTTGGCGTGTCGTGCCAAGAACCCCGCCCTTTACCAGCCTGTAGAGACCAGAGTGACCATGAGCGTGTACTGTGAGTGTCTCAGCCTGTCTGCAAACTGACAGTCAACACCCCCTCTGTTTTTTTTTTTATAAAAAAAAAAGAGAAAAAAACAAAAGAAAACCACACACTCACACACACTTGTGTACACTCAACCACACAGGAACCTCAGCCTCAGGGGGGCCCAAGGGTATCTGGCCTTGTGCACTCACTCTGTGTTAGTGGTCCAAGGAGAAACATTCAACCTGAAGGCAAAGTCACACCTACTTCAAAACAACATTCAGCTGGGGCAACCTTGTGAACATCCAATTCTCAAGGCAGCCCCTGCTGGACTGAGATTGATATGACCACAGCAGGTCCACGGCGCTGCCTGGCAGCGTCAAATAACACAGCAGCCTGCAATTAAATTAGCTTAGATTTATGGTTTTATTGAGTAATCTTGAAATTATTTACACCTTAAATTATTGCCCCAATATCAACCAAGTCCAATTATTAGACCGGCTCAGATGGATTATACCAACAAGGCTTCTGTTACAGAATTTTTAACAACATTATCATAACTAATATGGAAAGCTATGGCCACATCAGTTAATAGTAATAAATCCTGCAAACCCAACCCAGCAATGTTTTGCGCTCATCGGCTCAAATTAAATTTAGAATCCACCGAGGCAGGAAATGAAGCCAGTTTCTGTTGCCATTTCTTTCATGTTATTATCACAAATTGTGTGACATTATATAATAAAACTGTTGCTGCAGCACTCGAAGGTTAGTTGACACACACACGCTGTCTCCGGCGTTCATTGCATTCGGTGTTCTTTTTGTTTTTTTTCCCCTTTCCTCCTATTTGGCAAGGCAACAATGAAAGCTATTGTTGCTGAATGCGCAAACAGTGTGACACTGCAGCTGCTGTTTACTACAGTAGGTTTAGTATTTTCTACCCTGTTGATCAGTTGAAGTAATTGATTGTCGAGGCCTTAGAGTCTACCCACCTGCTTCTCCCAGGACTAAATCATGTTGTTGATTAAAGTGGAGCGGTGCTGCTGACACTTTTAGCAAGCGAGCGCTCCCTCCAGCTCGGCTGCCGTATTATCCACAGGCTGACTAGACACCTTAATGTTGTCTCTATCTACGCCGCTCCACATTAGACGCCGCCGTCGCTGCTGTTTTAACAATCACCAATAACCGTACCCGCTCCTCCCTTCCTCTCTGTCTCTCTGCCCTGCATTAAACAACATGGGCTCTCTGCTAAAGTGCTAATGTTGCAGAACTTGGGACCACCGCTGCAGTCTTACTCAGTATGCCAACCCATCAAAGCCAGCGCGGTGGCCATTTTCAGCCAGCCAGATTGTTAGCAAGGTGGCAATTTGTCATGCTGGCCCAGGGTCTGCAGTCTGCTCGCTGAAACTGATTGCAGCAATAACAAAGGCCCATCCTCTTCTAATTTATTTTACTGCATATATTTTATTCAAGGAGGCTGTAATTTATTCATATTTCACGTTGCCTTATTACTGTTTGAACATCTGTTATTTTGCTTTATGGACTGGATCCAGCTCACTGCTCCCTTAATACTTAATGCTTTCATCAGATCTGGACCTCTTATCCCACAGTCATGTTGAATGTGACCAATTTATTGGCCCTGTCTCAACAAATAGGCATGCTCCCTACTCAATTGCCAAGAGTGTTCTCATCGCAGCGCACTTTCTTTTTTATGCTGCCCTATTGATGTTCTCTCCGTACCTCTCTTCCTTTGAGTTACTACACCCCTTTTCTTCCCTCACCTTTTTTGGCCCTCGATGCCATTCCCCTTTGTTAAAACCGTTTTATTTTTGTCTCTCATTTCCCGACAGTCCCACCTCTGCCTCCAGTTATTGTGGGTCTGGAGAGAGAGGAAGTCAAAGCGGGGAGGATGCTCGTGTTGCAGTGCGTGTCTCATAGTGGAAACCCCCTAGCCACTCTCCACTGGACCAAGGTAAATCTTCTGCACCATCTGTTAAGGAGGCTTTGTAACACGCTGTCACACTGGCAAAATGAGCCAATTTTAGTTTTAAAATTTGCAGCATCCCAGAAGCATCCCATTCTTAGCAGCTTCTGTTCTCCGCCGCCTGCACCATATGGGGAACTTGCGACTATTCAAGCATTCTGCTGCCTTTTTGAGTGTCATGTGTTCAATTTGTCTGTCAGAATGGAGACGTTCTGTCCACAACTTGGGAAGAGGATGATGCGGCGCAGAAGTCCAGCAGCATCCTCAAACTAAAGATCACCCCTGCTGACAACCAGGCAGAGCTGTGCTGTGAAAGCATCAATCTAGTGTCCCTATCTCCTCTGTCTGTCAGCCGCAAAATAACTGTGCTCTGTGAGTGAAAATAATGCCTAATATAGTGCACCGCGCCGGAACACACACATGCACCGACACACATACACAAAGCCCCTGCCAAGGCTCGCTGATTATGGATTATTAAAGATATGAACATGAGGCAGAGGAATGTAGTAAGTCTTACCTCCAAAAACCAATTCTTTTGCTGTCCCAGCAAAAAATTACAGTGTTAATATCATTAATGAAACTAGTGGTTATTATAACTGCAGCCCGTATTTCCGACTGCCTCCAGATTAGAATCGCGGTATGCTCTTTGTTAGCTGCTGCATTAGTTCCTCAGGCGTTAGAGGCTACACTTTGTGCGAGAGCAACGCCCATGGTTAATAGATTATACTTTTTCTCTCTGAATATGAAATGTTTGTTTCAGCAACAATAAAACAAATACAGAATTAATATTCAGCAGCCTTGGTGCATTGAGTCTAACAATAGCCTGATTTCCACTACAGAGCCAGACAGTGTAAGTCAGAGCTTTAAATGCCGTCTGATTGATGCACCTATTTTATGTAAATATGATTGGGATCAGCCCTTGCAGAAATCTCTTAGCTCATGCTATGTAAATGTAACTCAGGTTGCACCAGTACTTTCCCCACTTCTCACCAAGTCCGCAACAGGCTCCGGTGCCGTGCCTCCCAGTCATCCGTTAAGGGATGTCGAAAATGAACTGCTGACTGCCTGACTGTGCTCTAGGCGCAGTCAGAAGCTGGAGGGCAGAGAGTCAGATTCACTGGTGAAATATGAATATGCCTCTTTTGCCACACAGCACCTTGCGTGATATCAGCCGTCTTTGTGTGCGACGCGCACAGACACACGTGGGATAAGACTCAGATGATTTACATACATGACCCCCTCCTTCCCCCAAGTATGCCAGCTCAGTCCCCAGCCTTTGTATTCCCCTGAAGGCTTTACACAACCTGCATCACTTTGCCTGCAGCTATTGTACCCTTTCTCCCCCTCTGGTTAAAACGAAGCAGACTTTTAGAAACCACAATGAAACCCCCCTGAGAAAACAAGTTGCCACTCAAAGTGATTTTCCCTCTCACCCTTGATACAGCTCTGTGTTTCACATCCAAAAATAGTTGCGCTGCCGCTGTGATCAGAATAGGTAGCTGTTGAATGTACTATTCGTGGGGCGGTATTTTTTACTGACTTTGTCTTTGTATGTTCGCCTATGCATGCGTGCATCAGTCGAGCCGGAAGAGCTGACACTGTCGGGTTCGTTAGCGGCCATCGAGGGGCAGGAGTTGAGTGTGAGCTGCTACGCCTCCTCCAGCAATCCCCCCGTCGACATCCGCTGGTGGCTGGGCTACAAGGAGCTCAACGGCACTGTTGTCGCAATGGAAGAGGTGGGACTACGCACAAAGCTGAAATTTATCTAACTGAGCGGGCCGCCAAAAACGGCACAATGTCTTAGGCCATGCTAGTCACTTTTAGCAGAATACTAAAAAAAAAAAAAAGGTATGTTTGTGTTTCTTTTCTGTGCAAACAAATCAAAAGGAAGGAAAGTTAAAGCACAAAAAACATTTACCTTCAGTCAAGCCTGCCTTAAGGGTAACAACAAAAAAAATATTAAAATGCCTCCTTTTGAATTAAAAGAATCTTCTATGTGAGATTTGACCTTATGTGAACCTTTTATAGTCGGAAGAAAATAACATGACCATGAGTAGTCCCTGAATAGGCCCGCCGCAGCTTCGCAAATGAATCCGTCGATTCCGAAAAGAGTATTCTGCTGCTCTTCTCCTCTTTTGTGTATGTTAATAAGATCAAAGTGAATAAAAGCTGACACAGAAGATGAGTATTATTAAACAAGCTCTTTATTCATCTGGCAGCAGCATTTTCATTTTGATCTTACACGAGGCACTCGGTGTGCTGTATGTGAGCTTTAATGCATGTGAAACAGCGTGGGGTTAATGAAGACTGACGCTCCTGTCCAGCGTCTTTGTTAGTCTTTCTGTCTGTGGCTTTTTACAGTAATCACCACAATAATAGCTTTAATAACCAGATGTGCTGCATAGGCATGACCACTATCAGGCAGGTGCAAAATGACACTTTGCTCAATTTATAACAGTGTGCAAAGCGGGAGAGTCAGATGAATATGCTTATTTATCACAGGCCATGCACAACATCCGTTATTACAGCAGCTAATTTGCCATCTGTATTCGCCAAGACAAACCGGTGAGGGTTGTTTTTCACCCGCTTCTTTTTTTTTTTCTTTTTTTTTCTCTCCTCTCTGTCTGATGATGGCAGACCAAGGCTGTCTGTCCCCTGACTGAACTGTCATGTGTGCTTTGTGTCTGCAGGGAGCCAATGGTGGGATGACAACCATGTCCAACATGACCCATCGGGTCTCCCGGGAGGAGGACGGGTTGAAACTCACCTGTGAGGCTTTTAACAAGGGGACACACTTCTCCAAAACCCAAATCTCTCAACTTAGTGTGTACTGTAAGTAAGTTTCACTTCTTGAAACTTTAAAGAAGATGTCACATGTACCCATCCTGAGAAATCTCCACGGAGAATTACATTTTTATTATGTGACATTTTTATGTATCTATGTGCACATCGTTCACGGTGCAGGAAGGCTACTTTAACTACAACTCATGATGTCAAGAACTGGGCTGCAGGGTGGCGTAGTTGGTAGCACTGTTGCCTCGCAGCAAGAAGGTTGGCGGTTCGCGTCCCGGTGGGGGCACCAGAATCTTTCTGCGTGGAGTTTGCATGTTCTCCCCGTGCAGCGTGGGTTCTCTCCGGGTTCTCCGGCTTCCTCCCACACAGTCCAAAAACATGTTGAGGTTAATTGGTGATTCTAAATTGTCCGTAGGTGTTTATGTGAGTGTGCTTGGTTGTCTGTCTCTAAGTGTAGCCCTGTGTTAGACTGGTGACCTGTCCAGGGTGTCCCCTGCCTTCGCCCTAAGTCAGCTGGGATAGACTCCAGCCCCCCACGACCCTAGTGAGGATTAAGCGGTGTATAGATAATGGATGGATGGATGTCAAGAACCAAAATATAGATTGAGAAGCTATTTAACAAAAACGCAGCATGTAAAGTTTATTAAAGTTGTTGTAAATTCAGCAATGGGTAGATTGAGAGCAGGTGGGGTCATAAACCAGAAATCACAAGTCAGTAGAGTGTGTCCATCATCTGTATTGCGTAGTCCTGCACATCTGCAACAGAGTCCAGGGGCCTCATTTATCATTAATGCATAGAAAAGGTTCTAAATTCTGTCATACGCATGAAATGTAGAGTGTGCGTGAGTACAAAAAAATCTGTATGTGCGTACGGGGGTCACATCAGTGTTGATAAATCCCACTTGTTCTTAACCTCCGTTCTCGTGCACGTTGCCTTCAGGAACGCCTCCAAATCACCGTATACGGCAACGACACGCCTCTTTATAAAGCAAGTGAGGATTTATTTGTTTCCTCACCTGTCATCATCATCGTGGCAAAAAGGGGCGAAAAAGAGAAACTTTTCTGAAACTAAATTTAAGGTACTTGTCAGCGAGGTTGAAGCAAACCAGAAAATATTGTTTGGTGAGTGAAATGTTGGGAGAAGCAGCGACAGAAAAAGTACTGCATGGGATAAGATAAGCACAGCAGTTTTTTCTGTTGGGTCAGAGGAGAGATCGCCGGAAGAAATTTTACAAAGTGGTTTGACGTTAAGCTCAGTGCCAAAAAACACATCACATCCCATAAAAGAGAAATGACTGCAACTAGAGGTGGACAAATTAATACCGAACGTTCACCCAGTGGATAACCCTGATCACTACAGATGAGATGTTTAATAACCAAACAAAGTCCAGCTGAAACATCTCCACACTCTGCGACACTCACCAATAAGCCAGCCGTCTTCAGCAGCTCCTGCTTGGAGACCCACAGAGCTGCTCTGCTCAATGAATGAGTCGTGCGTTCCTCCAGGCCAACGTTGGATAGCAACAAATGCGCAAATTATTTGTACGTTGATTGAACCTTTTCTATTTACAAAATCAAATTCATTGGTGATGGTGCTTTGATTGCAATGTGGGTGAAGACTATGGCTCCACCTATGTTTGGGAACCCAGTGATGGCGTTAAGTCCCCGTTTGATTTGGGTTCATCGGTGATGGCTGTAAGGGAACTGGAGGTAGGCTGGGGCCAGGGAACTTATGGCATCCAACACTGCCGGCATGATCCTGCTCAGTGATGGCTGGAAATGCTGCATATGTCTTCAACCTCACGCTGGAATGTGTTGGTGGCTACATTATGTGCGTACGCATGGTCCGAGCAGTCTGTATATTTACCTAAATATACGTAGAAGTTGATAAACTCCATACTTTGCGCAGGAACGTTCGTACGTACCCTCTATGCACATATCTGTGCGTACGCACTGATGATAAATGAGGCCCCAGGAGTTTGTTGATGCTGCTCGTGAAATATTGCTCTTGGAAGACTTGTGGAGTTGAGGGACATTTTAGAGGACAGCATCATGTTGCCTTGCGGATGTTGGATGGGTAGCATGCCTGGAAAGTCTGCAGGTCATCATAGGACTGGAACATTTCTAGCAGCTATAGGACGGCAGTGCAGATTCTGGTGACAGATGGATGTGCTTCGTCTTGCTGAAACTTGCTAGTGTCCAATGAACATGAGTGGTTGCCCACTGGGGACAATTACAACACCATTCTGCCATTAGATCAAAGTCTTTGAGTGGGCAACAATATTGCAAACCTGCCTTGGGCGATTCCTCAAAGTTTAAGCAGACATTCTCCGGTTGTGTACACCAACGACTTCATGTGCAGTCTCTGTAACCAATTTAAAATGATTCTACAAGCTGCATGTGACGACTCTGGGCTCAGCCGGTGACACGTGGTCTGCGGTCATGTTGCAGATTGTCTGTCGTACCATGCTGTCTGAAATGATTTCTTAGGCGCCAAATGGTGGAGTTGTGGACATCCAAGTGGCTAAAGCCCTAACTGACATGCCAGCATTTAACATGCCAACAAACTGTTCTTGTCTTTCTCTTGTCATCTGTGGCCTTGTTTCGTTTGAATAAAGTTGCATTCAAAGGTGGCCTTTTGTAGTCACTGGTCAAGGGAGCGTCTGTGTACTGGTCACACTGTCATTAAATCAACACCTGACCAGGGTGTGGATTAACTCACTGGTTAAGGTTTTATCAGCAGCTCAAAAACTTCTCACAACTGGTCACATTTTCTCCTCTAAATTTTCTAAACAAAGCAACAAAAAAATAAGATTTTTAACTTTTTCCTCTAAGTTGAAAAAAGAAGACCATTTGCGTGCTGCATTTATAATTTTGTTCAATGTATTTTCCAGGTCTGCTTTGTCGTATTTGTGTTAGAGGAAAAGTTTCCTGAACAGATGTTCAAATTGAAAATCGTATAACTTTTTTTTTCAGAGGCCAGTGGGGGTGTCTAATGAGAATATGTAAACAACAGGTCTGCCAAACTTGTATGGGAAACCAAAATGAGCCAAAATTGGTAAAATATTCTTTTAATTTGCAAATCTTTCACAACAGATCCCCCTCAGAAAGTATGGCTTGACGCGCCGCCTCAAGATGTCCCCCTTCGTTCAGGAACCACAGTGCGTCTGGTTTGTTTCTCCACTGGAGGGAATCCCACCGGGACTCTGACGTGGTTCAAGGTGAGCGTGTTCTGTTTATGCATGCCTGTCTGTATGTCTGCATTGTGATGTATGCCTAGTCTACGTACTGTACTGTAACTCACCTTCCTGTTTTAGAATGGAAGGGCAGTGCCTGACGCGTCGAAGCAGACGTCCTTCGATATGGGTGTAGCTCGAGAGCTGGTGCTGGTCCTGACGGCGAGCGACAACGTGGCAACCTACCGCTGCGATTCCACAAATAAGGCAAAAAAGACCATCTCCGCACACACTAAGCTTATGGTTCACTGTGAGTAAGACTGGAGCTCTAATAAACACCACTTGACCTTTCTTCCGTTCTAACTCGGCAGCGAGAAAAGCGCAATATCAGATAAATGGATTTGATATAAACCCAGTGACACAGATTTTTAGCTGCAACACCTTACGCTCTTCATCTTGATACAATCAGTGAGTCAGGATTGGATTTTCTTGTTTACTCCGTGGTTCTCCAGTTACAGCAGTCAGCATGAAGATCACAGCTAAACAGGAGGTGCTTCGGCGGGGTGAAGTGCTAACCCTGGACTGTCTGTCTGGAAGCAGCAACCCCAAGGCCAGCATCTCCTGGAGCATGGGCCCACTCAGGTTTGGAATACAATGTTGAATTTTCCTGCAAAAATAAAGCTAATTTACTGTCAAAATGAATGTGGATGACAGATGTTTATCCTGTTAAATGCAAAAATATGCGCGATTGTTTGGTGAACTCGAAACCCCTTTGTTAATTTGATTTACTGGATGGGATTTGCGTCCTAGGTTCCAGGGAGTCGAGCAGGCACCCAGGAGGGCTCAGTTTGGTGGCGTTTCAGTGATCAGCTCTCTATCCCTGAATCTGAGCTCACAGCATCACAACCAGAAGGTCATTTGCCAGGCCTACAGCCCTGTGTTGGCAGAGGGGGCCAACACATTCTTCCAGCTCAATGTGCTTTGTAAGTAGAGAATCGCTGGTGCATTTCCTTCTTTTACAGGGTGTTCGTTTCCTCCTTTCTCTTTGGTGAGTGACCAAGAGATGTGGTTTGCATAATTCTCAAATGATGCATGCTGATCAGTAATGGCGGGCGTGAAAACTGCTTTGCTGGTGTACTTTTGCAATATGTGTGTGTGTATTTTTTTTTGTTTGTTTTGTTTACTGGAAACCTTTGTTGTTGTGATTTGTGGGTCTATTGAGCTCTGCGGCTGTGTGTCCTAATTGTGCATTTGCTTTGCTGCATGGCCATGTTTGTCTTTGATGCCATTTCACAGGCAGCAGCCAGCCACTGCTTCAAAGCTCGGTACTGTGTATGAGCATGAAGGAATGTCACTGTGTGTTTGTGCGGAGCTGCAGTTGGACAACAGTACTGTCACTCGTCGTTTTAATGCCTGTCCCTCTCCCTCCCGCGCTGCCTTACTCCCCCGTCGTCTAAGTGTGTGAAGTTGGTTAGATGTGGAATTATTGGTGGGATGTCGGCTTTCTACTGGTTTAACTCTCATTAGTGTGTCTTATTGCTTTCATGCTCAACATGTTTCGCGTGTCTTTGTGCTCACTCTTGCTGGTTCTGTGGGCCTGAAGTTGGTATCCTTGTCTCTGCTCATGTATTTTTTTTTGGTGTAAATCCAATTTACTGTAGCTGTAATTCTGTGATTCTTCTGCGTCAGACCCACCAGAGTTCAGCCCAGATCAGCCGGCAGAGGTCCAGGTGGTGGAGGATGACATGGCAACCATCCCGCTGCTGGTCTCAGCTAACCCAGAAGAGGTCTCCTGCATTTGGCTGCACCGCAGGGAGAAGCTGGTCAAAGGTGATCCAGGGCTGTGTGATGGCTCTATAAACCAGGTCCTAGTTGAGCTGAGCCAGCAAGTAAGCACTCAGCTCTGCCATTCAGGGTCTGAATAAAACATGGCAGGTTAGCCAGCATGGGACCCTGCCAAATGTGATTCTCATTACGGCTCTAATGTATGCAGTCTAAATGAGGATTGCTGTCTCCCTGAATACAACACAACGGTTCTAAACCTGGCTTCTCCTCCAGGCCGGTGTCATCAGGGCCCTGCTGCACCCACTCGCTTTTTTTTTTTCTTTTTTTTTGTTAACTCTGTTAGCTCCATTATACACAGCCGACACCATAATTTGACTGTATCTTGAATGCAAGAAACCCACCTCTTACATTTTGAGTGCTGCGGTACAGAAGGTGTCTCTCACGCAGCCTATTGTTAGGTTGATGTGGGAATCCAGCCAGGCCAATCAATAATGCAGGATTAGATGTCACTTAGAGACCACTGGCCAGAGGACATGCAGTTGATGAGCATGTAATGAATACTTAATTTACCATCGGTTTGCATGTGTGTGTGTGTGTTTTTGTAAAGAGGGGGATTTGCGGTACCACTGGTCAGACGACTACTCGCTGGAGATCAAGAACGTGACGAGGAAAGATGCCGGGGTTTACACTGTCGAGTGTGCAAATGAAGAAGGCGTCAAGCAGACCTCCATCAAACTGGACGTTCAGTGTAAGACCCTGAGCTCAGAGGATGGCTGAGCAGACACGTGCATCTTTTCAACTCTCACAAACGTTTATGACTGTACTTCTGCAGAGAGGGAGAGCTCATAGTCTGATTCATGGGAAAACGGACAAAAGAGAGAAAAGTTAAAAAATGAGAGAAAGGATGGGAGAGAAACTAGAAACAGTACTTTTATTATAATCATTGCCTGCAGTCTATTCATTATTTATCTATCTTTTCAGAGGCTTTAACAGACGCACCTGTGGGTCCTGTAGGTCAACTGCATCATTTATCTCCATTGAATAGCATGCTACCTTTAAATAAGGAGACTGGGAAGACTTTCTCCTGCTCATATAATTGTCCTTTTTTTTTTTTTTTTTGCACTGAATTAGAATCTCTAGGCTGCTGTTTCTGAACTGTTCTTAAGTTGCAAAATATCAGCACCGTCAGTGCATCCAGGCTGACGAACTGAGACAACACTGACTTTCAGCTCCTCCCCACCAAACGTGCCGCTTTCATTAGGCCTCCATCCAAGGCCGTCCACCTCCACTGCAGCCCCGGGCCCTGCCTCGAGCTCCAGGCCCTTCTGCCCCGATACTGATGATTTAATAATGGGAGTGTTGAAAATGTAGGTCTCCCCGATTCACCAAAAGCCCATGGTACATGCCTAATGGATTCTGCCATCCTGATCGGACTGGGCTTGACAGTTGTAGATATTCATTATGTATGGAGGATTGTAGTAGCTTTTATATGTGGCGGTGTAGCCCACTTAACAATGTCGGTCTTGGTTAGGAGGCCAACATGGGTGGATTCCACTAACCCAGAGGTCTGTGTCTTGCTAGTGTTTCCCACCACTGTTCTTCAAGAGGAACACAGGTTTCGACAAGTAGGCACTAATGGCCTTACTGTTGCAAGTACATGGCACCCGTGGGAAGTATAAAAAGTTTGTGAGGTAGAGGCGAACAAAGAAAAGACGAGGAGCCATGTTGTCAAGGAGGAGAGAAAAAATTAATGGATAGATGGAGGAAGGAAGAAAGAAATGAAAGGAGAGGCAATTAGTCAGTCTGCTATGTTCAGAGTTGGGATGTGCTCTCCTTGGAGGGCTTCATGGGTCACATGGCGAGTTTTTTAGTTTGGTTGCGGACGCTCCAACATATAGACAAGTTAATGGTATTGTATCCAAAAGCACAGAGGCCGATTACAATGGGGTTATGAACATTTTCAAAGGCAAACAAGTGTAAGAGTAATTACAGCAATGCGGCATGCTTATTTAATGGATTGCCAAACAATTTGTCTCAGGCTGACATTGTCCCTTTTTTCTTACTTTCAGACGCTCCCAGTGTCAAAGCAGAGAAAGATCCCGTGTTGGTGAACCTGGGGGAAACCGCGGACCTGATATGCGTGGCTGATGCCAACCCCATTTTATTTGGCATGTTCTCCTGGAAGTGGCTGGTGAGAGCTACGCATGCACAGAAACAGCCGTCCGCCTAAATTATATTTCCTTTATCTGGCTTCTTTTCCATTATTTTATCCATTCTTGCCGTTTATCACTGGCCTTTGTAAATGCACAGATGCACCATATTTCACTGGCTCTAACTATCCTTCCACCCCACCTCTTCCTGCTCCGCACTCTGCCCAAATCCAGAAAAATAGCTTTCATTACTGCTGCGTGACTAAAGGGCACATTCGTCAATGTGGCGTGGTCTCTGTATCTACTGATGCTTTCTCCGGTCTAACCCACCCCCTGGCAGTAGAGTGTGTCCCGCTTTCAACCTGCGCTGCCCCTCCTTTTCCTCTTTCCCTGTGGCTCTCCAGCCTTTGGCATTATCCTTCTCTGTCCTTAGAGCTTGTTCCATCGAACGCCCTTCCCATCCAGACCTCAAGCCCTGATGGTTTCCGGCTCAACTCCCTCTCCCCCCTCCACCCTCTACCTGTCTCGCTCTCACGCTGCAAGACAGGTAGACAGCTATCACCCAGGAGGAGGGGAGTGTGTACTGAGGGATAGCGGCTGTCTTCTGCTCGTTCCCCCTCACTCTGTCTTCCGCAGGGAGAAGGGGAGGTGGAGCTGGAAGAGGAGACCCAGGAAGATGAATCAGGCCTTCTGACCATCCGTGATGTGACTCGGGCTCACGCTGGTCTTTACCGGTGCACAGCGAATAATGGCATCGCGCTCCCTGCCAGTGTGGATGTGCGGCTGGTGGTGCAGTGTGAGTTCACGGTATTTATTTTCAGTGTCACAGCAAAAACAGAACATTCACAGAGATTTGTGAGGACATGCACACGTTTGTGTACCTGTCAATACGTGCACGGGTACATTTACTCTTGTGCTGTGTCGGGGTGGGGTGGGGGGGTTCTGCGTGATTAATCCTGGCGCCTATCTTGTCTGGTGTAGTTAAACCTCAGCTTCAGAAAGGACCGCAATGGAGGAAGGTCGGAAGCAGAGGGGATGGCACTGCTACAGCCGAGGTCGTGTGCCAGGCAGAGGGCATTCCTCGTGTCGACTTCTCTTGGGAAAAAAACGGTGTGCGCTTGGATTTTGCAAGCCCCAGGTCAGAAGGAATGAGTTTTCCATTATGTTCACAGCTTTAGGTTACATATTGATGAATCCTTACAGTTCAACCCAAACATTTTGCTATTTCTTGCCGCTTCACTGGGCTACTAAATCCAGATTTAGTGCATTTTATACTCTGCTATTCACTATGCAAATACCTGTTTAATGCTTCTTTGATGTGTGAAATTGGATGACATAGTGCAATCTGCAGGACATCACAATGCCTGCTGTCGGTCTGCTCAGGATTTGTCTTTCTTTCTATGTGTGTGTGTGTGTGTGTGTGTGTGGGCGTGCATATGTTTGTGCTGCAGGTATGAGGAGCGGACGGTGAGGGAGGGCTCCTTCCACACCAGCACAGTTCGAGTGGTAAATGTGAGCGCAGCCCTGGACTACGCTGTCTTCAGCTGCACAGCTCGCAACTCACTTGGGGAAGACAAGCTCGACATCCAGCTCGTCAGCACAAGTACTGTATCCGTGTACATTTCTCTGGGTTTTTTTTTTTTTGTGGGTGTGTGTCTCCAGGTGACTGCAGTTCTCTCCACATCAGCCTTTGTCAATGTGCTGCAAAAACCACAAATTGCTATAATGTCCACTTTTCATGAGCTAAGAAAAACAACCCCGGCTCGGCTTGGTGGAAGTGTATTTTTAAGATAATCCAGCAGGTTTTTTTTTTTTAATTCTCTGAACCCCAAAACTCAGCGGTGAGTTTGAAAGGCATGTTATCTTTAAAGAAATTACACCATTTATCACAGCCAGACACTGTAGAAACAGAAGGAATGATTGGATTTTTAACTTTCAGACGGTCCATGAAACTATTATGCGTCTCATTTTTTTAAAAAATAAAATAAACCAACCAAACTAAAATAAACTGTTTGCATCAGATCTTGTGAAAACTTTGCGACAGAGAAGTCATGGCGCTTACAGAGAGCAGAGAGTATGGAAACAATTCAAAGGGAGTGAGAAGAAAATAAAACTTGTTCCATAAAATACATGCAGCATGGCTCAAAAACAGTATACAAGTTTAAAGATACAGTCAGCATGGTGAAACGTCTTTCTGGAGCTGATGTGCAGAGTAGAGTGAAGAGCACCTGCTTTGTAGAGGTTGTAAAAATGCAATAACTAGAGCAATAACTTTTTTCTAGCATTGGTCACAGCTGTTGAAAATATCAGTACATGGTGAGTCAACTTCCTTTTTTATTGCCTTTTTATGATTTATAACATTACATTTGTGTCATACTGTACAAAAGACTTTTCTTTTTTTTGTTCTCTGCTTCTAGTCATAGTTGTGCTATTCCCATAGAGGTGCAGTGAAAATGATTAAATAGTTAATTTAGTTTCAGATGTAGGAGAATTTTCTCATTTCACAAACACTTTATCCATCAGTGTAGTTGCAAAATGTTTGTTGTCTGGTAATCTGGCCACCACAAACAGTTTATGATTGAGTCTGTGTTCTCAGTAACACACAAAAGAGGCTGATTAAGAACTGTTAGGAAGCCAGACATCTAAAAAAAGATGCAGAGCCAGATGAATACCGACAGTCAGAAGAATGAACCACAGTGTGAATGCATGCTGGTTCGGTCGCTTTGTTAGTCTTTTCGCCCCCTAGTGGACAAAACTCACCCACGGCTGCTTTAAATAAATGGCAAATGATCAAAGTCAATGGTTGTGGCACACAACATGTAGGGATTATGCATATCACATGCTTGGCAGTGGAGCGCTAATTTTTCCTTTGGTTCTAATTTGGCAGCATTTCAAAAATAACTGGATCTGTGCTGCCTCGTCCAAATTTTATCAGCCTTTTTCAGCCACATTACAATAGTTTCGCTTCGACCATTGAACATCCAGATTTCTGTAAACTGGAGAGAGTTGTTGCTCCTGAGAGTCAGCCCCTTTAAGTAAACTTATTCCACCGCTCTATCTCCACCTTATCATTTAGCCCGTAGCGCTACTTCACTTCTTCCTCAGATAATGCTGCAGTGATATGCTTTACTCTCCCGGCATGCTTAGACTTTTCTACCTTCGAGCTACCCGTGTATCTGGTGCACTACCTCCATTATCAACACAGTCCAGCTCTCAGCACAAGCCCACAGCCATCGTTGGACACATTTAATGTTTACTACAAAAACCATAAAATACAATCCAATATTGGCCCTGTTTTTTCCCCAGTCATTTTTTTTTTTTTTTTGAGCTGTGAATATTCATAATTAATCTGACGCAGTGATAATAAATTTTATATGCTTCCTTATCATTTTAGAGCCCGAGAGGAAGAGAGAGTTTTTTTTTTTTTCTTTCTCTCCTTAGCATGGTGCTTTTTGGATTTGAAGGAGACGAGATCCACATAAGGCTGACCCCTTTGCCCCGGAATCTTATGAGTGGAGCTGATAGTGAGAATTATTTACTTTGCAAACTGGGCTGCAGCCTGGAGCCACAGACGAGTAGAGCATCTCCTTCTTATGTTGCTACTCGACTATCTCTCCTCCTTCTCTCCTTGACTATCTCTCCCTCTGCCCCCAAAACCACCCGTCTTTTTTTTTTTTTTTTTCCTCCCTATGCTCCAAATGCAAAATAATCCACTTTCCCTTCACTACCCTGACTGAAGTAGTGCCTTGTGTCAGACTGAAGGCCTGGATATAGGCTCCTTTGATCTTTGTTCACAATATTGATAATAATCTAGGCGCTTTATCCTTCATTGCATAACTCTGGGTGGATAAATTGGACAAATCAGTCACTTTGTTCTGTGAGGGATCAGCCAAAGCTTTGCCCCGTGTTTCCTGATCAGTCATTCAACGAAACACAACCCTAAGCAGAAGCAAATGAGGAGCAATGCAAAGCCGTTGCTGTCAGAAAAAAAGATTTGTTTCCTTAAGAAGCCCGCGGAATAAACTGCGATTAAGAAGATATAAACTGTTGAGGAAACAAAGCGGCTTTGCAGGCTCGCTGACAAGTTTTGACCGCAGCGATCATCTCTCCTCCCCGATATAATTTTTATTCACTATTTTTTTTTTTTTTTTCATTATTTGTCGTCGGTGGTTATTACCAGTTTTTCCTCATTAAATGTTCCAGACTCATATTGTAGCACTTGAAATTATGTGTTGTGAGTCACAGCTTGAAATCATACAATTATACAACAACAACGTAGTCCACCCACAAATCAAACATTTTTCTGTGAGGTAAACAGTTATTACCAGCCGTTCTGTCATGTATATCTTAACAAAAAACAACATTTTGCTTTCAAAAACTGAGAATATCTTCATTTTCTATCATGAAAAAACATCCGCTCCGCGCTCACATTCAGCAATATCATTTTGTCTATTTATGCCGTCTTCATAGCAAAGAGGTAGGCCTAAGGAAGGCACAAGCCTATAGACCTCATGTGGTATTTCAGAGTCTGCAAATATAATCACTCGACTATATAATGGCAAATATCTCCGTTTCTTAGCACCAAAAGCCTTTTCAAATAGCCCCCCGTTGAGTGAAGGCATTCAGCTCTCGCACAAAATCGAGGAACACATTCGGGGTTTTTTTTTTTTTCCACCTCTCTTCTTTTATTTCAGATCACCCAGATCCTCCTTCATCGTTTCGCCAAGTCGGCGTCACCCACGACTCTGTCACGCTGGAGTGGATCCCCGGCTTCGATGGGGGTTTGCGGCAAAGATTCCGCATGAGGTGAAAAAGCCAAGAAAAAGATGTTAGCGGAAGAATGACACCCTTTTATACTGTCAAAGAACTGTACTTGACGGAGACTTTTTCTGGTTGACAGGTACCGTTGGGCTCAGTCAATCAGTTCGCTGTACATGGATGTCTTTCCTCCCAGTGCAACTTCATTCACTGTTACTGGTCTGCAGCCTGTCACCACCTACAACTTCTCCGTCAACGCCCTCAATGCAATCGGAGAGAGTGGCTATGCTGACAACAATGCAGTACTGACCATCACCACCAAGGGTCAGTTTGGAGTAACCCCAGTCTGAAGGGGCTAAACAGCACAAGCACCTTCCTTTTAATAAAATTCAACACGAGCTTGTTATGCACAGATGTGTGCTTTTGTTCTTTCTTTCCCCACAGAGAGGCCAGAGCCAGAAGAAGTCCCATCAGATGAAGACTCAGTCTCACAGAGTAAGTCTTTAACTACAGCTCCCCGGAAAAAAGCTCTTAAGGGCAGTTGGAAATTGATGTTTGCACAGCAGCTAGCTTCATTTGGCTAAATCATGTTAATGTATGCACCTCCAAGGCTGTTAATGTTTGCTCTACAGGAGTAGCGGTTGTCATGGCACCCACCCATACTTTTTCCCCTCTGCTAGTTTTTAATCAATAAAGACAATTGAGAGACTGGTTGGGTCTGTCTCAGCCGGTTTTATCTCCACAAATTTCCATATTACTTCCTCTTAAACTTTCATTGTTGCACACCGAGATAATGTTTCTAATGTTTTGCAAACTAGGTGCAAGCGGGCTGCCGGCCTATCTCGCCGCAGTGCTCACAGCGGTGCTCGGAGTCCTGCTGGTGTCGAATTCGCTGGGCTGTTACTTCGGACTGAGGTGGAAAAAGAGGCGAGGCCTGACAGGTAACCGTAATTACCTTTTCATCCGTGGATGGGAGAGTGTTTCTTCCATCACTTTCTGTCATTGAAATGTTCTGATTCCTCAACAAAAAACTCCGAAGAGATTACACTGAACCATGATGCAATTGTCAGCTCAGCATCTCACTCTCCCCTCATCTCTCCATGTCCCTCTTTCTGTTCGTCTACCCTGTCTCCTCTCCTTTTGCTCATTCTCTAAGCCTCTACCTCCCACCACATTCATCCTTCAAAGCTGTCACTTCTGCGTTTCATCCATATCTTTTATCTCATTTGCTTGCTTTATGTCCTTCCTCTATCCCTCCTTTTGTCTCTTTCAATTTGTTCTTCAGTGTAAGTGTCAAGGTTTCTCGCTCAATCTTGTATTTTTTATTCCTCACCTTCCTCTGCCCTCTGATTTTTGCATAGATTTTTTTTTTTGCCCATAGCTTACTTGTCTTTCATTCACTCTCCCTCTCCAGCCTTTTTTTATTGCCTTATCAATTTCATTGCAAAGGATGCGATGCTCCTCTCCTCAACTTCTAATTTTCCTGATACTAAGCCTCTTTCCTCCTGTTTCTGTATACCCCCAGCAGGGGGTAGAGAGGGCAGTGTATTGGATGGAAAGAAGAATGAAGAGGAGGGGTAAGTTAAGGCCCTGCAGTGGAAGTAATAAAGATACACACATCCAATCTACCCCAGTAAGTCTGAGACCTGATCCACTGGCTGATCGAAAACAGCCAGACAGGCAAAATAACAAGCTTCTGTCAATATCCATTTATATTAGTGTCATCAAACTCGCACCACAATCCTGCAATAAACGGGCATTGAGAACTTAATGTATGCAGGGAGCAAGTTGCCATGTGTGCTGAGTGCTTTATATCTCTGAGAATCCTCACCGGGGGCTAATTATTAAGTGTTTCTGGGAAATAAATCATGTAGATGACAAAATCTGATTTGTCTGCGCAGGTCAAGTCAATCAACTGTAAGAAACTCCAATAAGTATGAGAGCAGAGAAAAGATCAACACTGCAGCCCAGCGCACCCTCCTCATTGACTCTGGATCCGAAACAGACAGCAATGCCTACGAGAGCTATGCGGCGGTAAGAGCTGGAGGGAGGAGGAGGAGGAGGAGGAAAAGGAGGAGGAGGAGGGAAGAGCAGGTTGAGGAAAGAGAAAAGGGCAATTGAAAAAATATGCAGAGACACAGAGAAGGTTGAGTAAACAGATGAGGGGAGGAAAGAGGTTAGGCAGAGGGTGAAGGGATCTGGCAGGAGAGGAAGTGGAGAATTCAGCCATAACAAGGAAAATGGATAGATAAACTAATGAAACCTTTAGCTGTGCACAGAGATGGAACATAGATCAATACTTCACAATTAGCATTCAAAATACACATCGATCCGGGAGAAATTATCATTTTGTACTTTAAGAAAGGCCAACAAGGATTTGAACCTTGAAGAAAACTGTTTAGTGAGCTAAAAGAAAACAGATAACACTGTGCTATCAGAGCAGCACGAATCCTCAAATTCCCACAGAGGCACAATTCAGCTCACCTCTAATTTACCTATATTTCCTCATTTACCTGTAGAGATTTCTGGTCTTTACTGGAAACGGTTTGTTTTTATTATATCTCCGCAGCGGCGACGGTTAAAGCCAGAGACATTATGTTTTCCGGGTTGTCCATCCGTCCTAATCTCACGAACGTGATGTGTCTTGAACGCCTCGAGGAAATTTCTTCAAATTGGGCACAAATGTTCACTTAGACTCGAAGATGACCTGATTAGATTTTGGTGGTCAAAGGTCTCTGTGATCTCACGTCCGTCCGTCCCATTCTTATGAATACAATAGATCAGGAATGTCTAGAGGGAATTCAATTACATCCGTTACAAAAATTCACTTGGACTCATAGATGAACAGATAAGGATTTGGAGGGAAAAGGTCACTATGATCTCATGAAACACGTTTTCGGCCATAAATCAAGAATTCATAAGCAAATTAGGACACAATTTCCGACAAATGTCTAGAAGAATAAAATGATAAAGCTGAAGTCTGACTCATCTGGTTTGCATGTTGCCGTTTTCAAAATCCTCTTCGTCAAAGACCTCTGAGCAGATGTTTACACACTGTAAAGGTTTGCAGTGGTTCTGGATTGTGTAGCATGTCAGGCCCACTCAGTTTTTCCAGCAAATTGGCCATTTTTTTTGACAGTGTTTGCATCCCTGCATGCAGAACAACTGCCCCATCGCTATTTTGAAGGGGCATCATCACTACATCCTGGGCTTATTAACATCCAAGACGATTCTGATTGGTTTAAATAAATGCAAACAAACCAGAGCATTTTTATTTATTTTTTTCCCCCTCATAGGAAAATGATAATGAATTGCTGCCATTCCCCAGCACTGTGGATATAGATCTGACTATGCAAGACTGAGCCTGCACAGACATTGATGTAAACTGCAACTTGACTGGTTAGCAGAGGCATACAACCGTGAGGCAGTAAATCTATTTTGGCCAGGTTTTGAGATGCCCGTCTGTAAAATTTCTGCCAGCATTCTAAAGTCCAGCCTCACAGTATTAAAAACAGAACAACATCATTCTATAAACAAGTCCCTATTACTGTGAATAGGCCAGAAACATCACCCATTTTGATATTTGCTATTGCTATCTTCTTCTTCTACAGTTTCAATTAGGCCTGGAATATTTAAACAAACAAAAACAACAACCAAAAAAATAATGTATGGGAGATATACATTACTTTAGAAAATGAAGTGACATATAAGTGCTGTACCTGAATGGTTGCCTACTTCTAGAGGCTAGTGGGGGTGAAAGAAAATCAGGTGAAATGTTTCCAAGAATCCCCTGAAACCCCCTCGGCGCTGATAGAAAACATGTGGAATTGCCATTTAAAAAGAAGTCACTTCAGGTCAAAGCTGATCTGACGCTATCTCCTTTGTTTTACTCATTTCAGGAACGTTCCCATTATTATTATCCCACTGGTGAATACATGCCGCCTCTCAGTCCTCACCGTGAGGAAACACGTGGGCTCGGTAAGACGCAACTGTACCTTAGAGTAAACAAGACAACAATAAACACCACTTGTGTCCAAAAAAAAAAAAGACGCAGCGTGTGCCAGCACTGTATCCGTCCTAGTTTAGCCTTGTAGCAAATATTTTAGCAGATCTTCAGGTACAAGATTTAATCATCCCTTTTTTTTTTTTTTTGATCACCAAGACGTCACCCGCCTCCCTGTGGACTCTCAAAGCCACGTGTATGAAGATGTAAGAGATGTTGGTTTGTACCGGGACATACCGGCTTTTCTGCCTCAACAAAGGAACGACTGGCCAACCTCCCCTCAGGTCCGTACATGAACTCTGATTATTTACATTACTTAATATCAGATGAAAGATAAAGAAAATAGATAATGGTGACTGAGATGCGATCTGTCTCTTCGCAGGGCACCGAGAGACTGAAGCACTTCATGGATGTTCAACAGCTGCAGAGAGATTCTGATCTTCCTTTTGAACTACGAGGAGAGTTGGTTTAGAACGAGAGAGATAAGGTTAAACGCATAAACTATGACTCAGAAGCCGTCATTAAGGAGAGGCTTGTGTAGCAGATATTCGTTTTTTTTGTTTTTTTTCTCTCTTAATTCTTTTTGTACGGTATCTCTCAAGTCACCTTGCATGAACCTGTCAAGAGCAGGAACGCTTGATGTAAAATGCCATATAAAGCAGCATTTCACCTTTCAAGTGTTTTGAGTTTTCACCGTGTATATTGTGATCATTTAACATCATTTTCTTCAAAGGATCGAGTTGACCTAATGTACAACAACCCGAACAAGACGAGCAGAAGGAAGAAAGGCAGAATGATTTGGTGAAAAAAAGAAGAAGATGTGAACACCTCAGTGACCTTGTGCAATCAGAGATGTCATAATGATGCTACGCTGCGTGCCTTTTCTTTTATTACGCTTCAGTATCTTCGTGTTTTTGAGCCACCAGCTTATTTTATTCTGCGTCTGCTATCCCTCCCTAACCATTACCCTCTTCCTTGGAGCCACAGCTCCATTTGCCTTGGCCTGCAGGGAGACATGAATCAGTCACTTAAAGACAAAAATGAACTGACATCTTTGTGGTTGGCACCGGGGCAAGAAGCAGCACAAACTCTCAGTGCCACCCAAGCAAATATCCTCCTCCTTCTGAGCCGACATCAGCATTTTCTAGCGTGCATCTAGATGAGAAGCCGGAGACAGAGGCCAGTCCCTCCGCCCGTCTGCCACAAAGAGTTTTCAGATCTCACAGTTAGTCTGCGGGAATCCCTACAATAGGATCGTGCTGAGTGGTATTTAGCACAGTAATGTCTTCAGGAGGTAAAGCCATATCTAGGGCCAGACTCTAATCCTGTTTTCTCTCGGATTGAAGTTCAGCTCACAACATCAGTGACAGAGAGAAACCATGCAGGGAATTTGTCTCACTGAGAGTGGGCAGCCACAGTGAGATAGAGACCAGCAGAAGAGAGGGTTAGGCTAAGCTCCGACTGTGGCCACCGCTACAAAAAAAAATCTTCTCTTCTCTAGTTCAAGGAAAAGCAGTTTACTGTAGGCGTTTACTCAACAGCCTGCGCGATAATCTTTATTTATCGAGCATTTTTCCAAACAGAAATTGCTTTCCACAAAACAGCAAATCAATAAATTATGAAAATAACGTATAAAATTGAACAGAATTACATATTAAAGTGCACAGAACCAGCTTTAGTGATATAAGTTGAAGAAATAAAAATGTTCTAGCGCTAGTAGCTATGTGAAGCTGCACTTGCACACAGCAACGCTTTGAGCCAAATTCTTAGATCAACATGCAATTATATCTCACAGTGACAACGCTAACATGCTGATATTTAGCATGTGTAGTGTTTACCCAGCTCAACATCTTAGTTTAGCCGGAAAGGAAGTTAATATTTGCTCATTAGCACTAAACACAAAGTGCAGATGAGGCTGGAGGTTTCTTTCAGAAACTCGAAATTACATTTCTGACCTGTTGATGGTGCTATATGAAGACTCAGTGTGACATCCACACACACAAAAAAAAAATATATATATATATATATATACCAACGCCTAAAAGAGACTAAAGAAAAAGACAGATATTCTTTATGGTATAAGTATGCTTTTATGATGACGTTCAATAATGAAGCTGCTGACTGAACCTGTCAGGTATTTGTTCAGGCAGGTCGTTCCAGAGCACCAAGACCTTGACTAAATATAATGAACAAAACAAACACAGCATTTCATATTTAATTAAATTCTATGCATTCTTTTCAACACAGGGGAAGGAGTACTTGTAGTTCCAACACGTGGCGTCTCTATGGATGCCATGAATGTGCACGCTGTATTCCAAATGATAATAATTAGCAGCTGTACACCAGCAATGACAATTCAGTCCACCGTTTGTATCACGTGGTGTAGTGTAGGTTGTCGATGCTGCTTGTGGAATGTTGTCCCGCTCTTCGTGTAGGGCTCGGTGAAGTTGACAGACGTTTTGGTGGACAAGATCATCAGGCGCGTTCATTAGGAGGTGCTGGATGGGTGTCTGGAGAGTATGTAGGCCGGGGAATTACTGCAGCGTTTTCATCTGCTACAGAAGGCATCTTCTCTCTACATGGGAGTGCGTGTTGGAATGTCAAGTGATGGTGGTGGATGAACGGGACAACCGCGGATGTGAGGGCTTCATCTCGATATCGTTCGAGGTTAACATTGATGAAACAAAGATATACCATCACTCCGCTACCACTCTTCGCACAATGCTGACATCCGCACAGCCAAAAGCGACGTCTAATAACAAGTGGCAGATGAAAATGAAAAAAAACAAACATTCTCTATCTTTCTAAACATAATGCGAGGTTGCCCACTGGAGATGATTACAATACTGTTTTGCTGCTAGTTCAAGGAATTCATGTGGGCGACGAGATCACAAACTGGCTGCCCGCGGTCGATTTCTTAGCGTTTGAGCAGATATTCTCTGATTGTTCACAACAATAACGTCATTAGAACAAACAGTGTTTGCAGATTGACAAACCAGATGTGAAGATCTGGGGCTTAGGTGCCGTCTACAGTCATCTGGCGCATCGTTTGTCACGCGGAGCCCGAACTGAAATGCCAGCATCCTGTTCTCGTCTTTCTCTTGACATCTGCGCTACAGTGTCGTTGGAATAAAACTGTGTTTTAGGTTGATAATTTAATAGCTACTATTTTTGGAGTGTTGGATTCAAGGCTGTGGATTGACTCAGTAGTTGAGAATTTCTCTACAGCTGAAAAACTTTTTTTTTATGCACAATTTTATTAAAGTCTCTTCTAAATATGTTTTAAATGAGATTTCTAACTTTTTCTCTAAGAGACAAAAGAGGACCATTTGCATGCTGTGTTTATATTTTACTTCATTCCTGCTCGTATATATTTATTGAAGTGCGTTCATCTGAAGATCGGTGCTGCCATTTGCATGCCACCTTGAGAACACACACAGCACAAATCAGGTCCTCTTTTTTTTTTCTGTTACAGGGTTTGTGTGCTCCGGGTATTTGTGTAACTCCATCTTTTAATGTTTACTGAGACGAGATCAGAAACTTCCTCAAAGTTTCCACGTCTCTTGTAGGCTCTGCTGCCTTGTAGTTATGCACAGATACACTGGGCTCTTACTAAGTTTGTACACAGAGCTGTTATGCATACACCCGGTTTCTGCTTCCAGCTTCTCCTTTTTCCTCAAGTACGATTCGTCACATCGGTGTCACACGGGCGTATCACACACATCACATAAAGCGCGGCGCAATAAGACACGCACAGACAGAAAATAGGCTCTAATTTAAATTTACTGTTCTTCGATAGAAATGTCCCCTTTTCCCTTTTTATGATTAAGATGTCGTGTCCCGCTGTTATTACTCCGGTAATGTCCAATGCATTATTTTTATGGAAATATTTACTTACATGCAAGATGCAAGGTGATATTTAGATCCCGGTAAGGTTGTTAATGTCCACACATTTGTCAAACCTGCAAAATTGTGTTTCCTCAGTGGGGCCTGACTGCCTGGAGATAAATCTGAACGTTTCACTGAGCTGTGTTCCCTCAGTTAGGCTTTCTATTCTCCATCATGAGCTGTCAAGGTATGTTTGTCTCATTACTGAACAATTGTTTAAGTTCCTGTCTAGCTGACTGCTGTTTTCATACCAAAGCCTGTTCATAATGCATCATTTCAGCTCAGGCAGGAGCAGTAATCTGCTAAACTGAAGGCTTGACAGCTCAATACTGTATGTCAACTCCTATTTTCCCTCTCTTGCCTCATGAACATTTTGATATGTTGTTTTCAGAAGAATCTCAAGGGAGCGCAAACAGACAGGCTGCATGAGTGCACAATTAAGTCAAAACAGAAACAAATAAGAGACTTTAATTACCTCATCTCTAGGAGTGTTTTCACATCCGTCTTACCCCTCTCCAGAATGCTTTTGAAAAAAAAAAGAAAGAAAGAAAAGAAAAAAAAATGTAAGATTGAATAATGGTTCAATAATACTCCTTCATCACTTGAACAGGTTGTAATGCCAGCAGGAGGGTAGCTCAAATTTACCTCGGATTTGTGCAAACTCTGTCGTTGCTCTCGTTATTCAGAATTTTCAATTTGAGCTAAATAGAAATCAAATCAAAAGCAACCGCAGGTTTTACAAATTAGAACATGATTTTACTGGCAATTATTACGACTCGCTTTGTGGCTCCTCGCTCCCGTTGTTAGTAATGAGGATACAATTTGCCCCTCAATGTGGATGAAAGAATATAACCGAATAAATACAACAGTTGCTCATGCAAGGTGAGGTAGGAACACAATGAATTGTTAATGCTGATGAAGGCTGAAGTGAAAGCGCCAAAGTTTACACGCAACACTGTCCCAGCCCACGTGAGGAGGCAGAAGTCAAAGTGAAACCTTACTGCAGAAAAGTGCATGTTCCTATAGAGACCACCGTGCGATGAAAAACCACAAGAAGTGTAGCTGGGGATTTTGATTTAAACACTCTAGTCCCCGTCTTCCTTTGTGTTATGTATCCTTTACTTTAAAAAGAAATCCAGACGAGCACTTGTTCGCCTGGCATTGTTGCCCAATAGTATACAATTATCAAAAGAGAAATGCTCTCCTTTTAAAGTCCTTTTTAAACCTACATGCATTTCTTTTTTTTATTGTTTTCAAGCATATTTGAAATCACACAGCCCAGCCTCAGAAAAAAAAGAAAGTATAGTAGCTGATCAACAGTGCAAAGTGTATTATTTTCACAAACAAGGCTGTAAAATTGAGAGATTTTTAAAATATTTTGTAGGTTCTACTCTTGAGGCAGGACTCCTCTCTCATTTCCACATTCACATATTACTTATCATGCATCATGGACTCTGGAAGACCTCATTATATTTGTATGTGTATTTATCTACACACATATGTAAAGGTATACACAATAAATATTGTCTGATGGGGGGAAATAAAATGCAGAACTATGTGTTCTTGTAAGTGAGAGATTGAAATGCCCAGTGA